GTTCGGCCTTTACAGTTTACAGTTTACATCTTTACAGTTTGACTACGATGATTGGTTGGCTGCTGAGTGTGGATCTCCTCCCTCTGAAGAATGGAGAAAGCAAATGTACTTTATCTCAAGAAAGAACAAAAAGACTCTGCCCGAGACATATCGTGACGAGTGGGACGATGATGATTTGATCATTCAAGCTCATGAAGACTTCGTAAAATATATTCCTGAACTATCTCAAGAACAGAAGCTCTCAAGATGATTAATTTTGTTGTTACATGAAAAAATAGGAATAGCTGAATAAATCGAAAAGTATAGTAAAAACTGGAAATTCCTATTTAGTTTAAGCTGGTCATAAAAAAATAAAATTGGTAGCATTGTTCAGGTCAGCTTGGTTTTTGGGGAAATAAACTGAAACTTCCTAATGTTTAATATTATAATTGAAATACATCGACATATAATCTCCCTTGTTGCAACTTGCAATTCTTTGATTTTTAAGTTTATTCTTCTTTCTGATTTAAGTAGAAAATTGTGGATTAATCCACTGCGAGCAATAATTCAGAACTAAAATGAGAATGGGTCAAGTTCTTACTACTTTACTTTGCTTGTTCAGTGTTCGCACTAAATCGAAAGTAAGACTATACATCACTTAAACATAGTATATATTCGTGGTAAAAGTTTATATAAAATGTCATCACTTACTATATTCATCCGTTAAATATTTCCATATAGAAAATTCAATTTTTTATGCCTTTAGTTTTCTGTCACACGTGATGCACTTGACAAGGATATACATACACATACATATTAGGGAGAATATAATACTAGGTAAATCAGTCAAAAGTCTTTGCCTTCAAATTAAATATTGCAAAATCAAACTAATTAACCAAAATTTGGGACGTATAACCCTGAAGCTGATTGGCAGGCTTGAAATACAAAATTGTAGACAACGTACCATATGGTAAATATTTTATTATTATTATTATTATTATATATAAGTGGCTTGTTACTGGGAGCAACATGCATAGAGCTTTGAATATCACTACAACTGACAAAGAATTATAATGGAGAATGACGTTTTTATCTTATTTTATCTGTGATCTTTCTCTACATTGTCAATTTGTCATAGTAATGGCCTATTGACTTTTCATATTGTTAACTTATTCACGTTGAGTGCTTGACAGCACTAACTTTTCCAAAATTTTAATTGAGTCTATCTAATATAAACACTTCATCTACATCGATCACTAGACGACAAACTGTAGGAGAGCCATGCAATTTCTTAATTTTATTATTGTGCCTTTAAGGATTACTGGTCCAAGAACCAACTAAACCTAACGAAAGATACCAAAGTCAAGTTCGCAACTACTCATAATCACGTGTGACTTTAATATTCCCATGTTATTTTCATGGTGGGGGATGTCCCTGCCCCCTATATATCAATGGTTGGTGGGATGGAGGTATTTTGGTTTCCCATTATGTATTTGGTATTCGTATTGAGGCCCGATTAATTTGAAATTGTCTTGCGTAAAATCTCATTCAGAAGGAAGTAATCTCTATTAAGGATTTTTTTATACTCAAGATATCAAATCCAAAAATTGTAATTAAGAAAAGAGCAATTTCATCCGCTGCATCACATTTTTGATGTTAGGATGGATGTCCCT